ACACACACACACACACACACACACACACACACACACACACACACAATCAATCAATCAATCAATCAATCAATCAATCAATCATTCAATCAATCAAATTGATTGATTGATTGATTGTGATTGGTTCGTTGATTGATTGATTGATTGATTGATTGATTGATTGTGTGTGCGTGTGTGTGTGTGGGCCAGTGTTTTGCCACCAGCCCAACAAACCAAAAATATGAAGAAAAAAAAAATCTTCATCGGTTTTATTATTATTATTATTTTTAATTTCCATTTTCGTTTTTTTTTTTCCCTTCCAGTAGACGTCACAAAAATTTATTAAAAATCACAGGCGTGTAGAGATTTTTTTTATCTTCACGCCCATATTTTTTTTATTTTTTCTTTGCCTATGTTTAGGCCCCGAAAAAATTCTTGGAGTTTCATGCCGACACTCGGCCGCGGGCGGGATCCCAACCGTGGGCGGTAAAATGGCCCACGGTCGCGACTGCGGGTGATACATAGCCTCCCCTGCTTCTCTCTCTCTCTCTCTCTCTCTCTCTCTCTTGTGTGAGTGTGACCCTGTGATTCATTGATTGACTTTTTTATTTCTTGATTGGTTGTTTGGTTGTTTGATTTTTTCATTGCTTGACTGATTGACTGACTCATTGATTTAGGGTCTCGTTAGACAGAGAGAGAGAGAGAGAGAGAGAGAGAGAGAGAGAGAGAGAGAGAGAGAAGCAGGGGAGGCTATGTATCACCCGCAGTCGCGACTGTGGGCCATTTTACCGCCTAAAAGGTTTTAGGACGAGTCCTAAAATATTTAGGACGAGTCCTAAAAGGTTTTTAGAATTTCATGTGGTGTCATTACACGTAATCCTAAAAATCATCTTTTAGGATTCGTCATAAAAGATCTCCCTTGGCCGGTTTTCATATGCGTATATGCAGCCGCGTCGCCCATGTCCATCCATTCCTGCCAATGTTCGTCCAATCCCCGACAACGACTACCTTTCGTGGCCTTTGCTCGTGTCGACCCGCAGAAAACCTCTTATGTCCGACCACTGACCCGACGGACCGCTTCTGCACCAGCAACTCCGTGTCAACGATGCCATGAGTGCGACGCAACGAGTCCGTGAAACGAGGGAATCCTAAATTTTTCAGTTGGGTCGAGGGCTATTGGAAAATTTAGGACGATTTTGCCTGGGGAATCCTAAATCCTTTAGGACTCGTCCTAACGCCGTTTTCACATTTTCGATCTCAAAATTGGATTTAGGATTGCGTGCAACCAAGATGCAATAATACACATTTCGTTAAAAGTGAACCTTTTGACTGTTCACTTTTTGTAACAAATTCGGAATTCATGTTGGAGCGCCATAAATAAGAATAAATAAAAACAATCATTAGTAAGTGTTGCTAAGTGGGCAGTGATATGGGTCAACTGCCATCGCTTGGAGTACTGGACCCATCACACACACACACACACACACACACACACACACACACACACACACACACACACACCAGCCAACACCAACCACCCCAGCACACCAACGGTGTTCGAAGTTCTCCCTTGTAGGCTATCTTCACGGTAACCTTTTGGAGCGGCCTTCGCTCGGCAACTCAGAGTAAACTCTTGGTTTGTTCGAGTGCTCCGGGCCCATCAACATACAAATTGTGCGCTTGATTACGGGCACTGCATAGTTCGTAATGAGCAGGATACGTACTTCAGCCCCCTCCCCCCCCCCCCCCCCCCCCCCCCCCCCCCCCCAGTGCGCCGGTTCGCGAGCCGGACCGCATTATATGAGATTGCAACTGGATTCGATCACCCATGGCATCCTGTTGTCAACCCCTTTTAGCAAAAAGGTTCGGGCATCGGACATTATATGAGATTGCAACAGCTGGTTTTTCGGGATGGTGGCGAGCGGAGGCCGTTGTTGATATGTTGTTTTCTGTTGTTTCGTGTGTGTGTGTACATGTTTTATTTTTAATACTATGGTCGTAGTGAGCGGGATACGTACTTCCCCCCCCCCCCCGCCCCTTCGCAGGTCCGCGTGCCGGTTCGCTAGCCGGACCACATTATTTGAGATTGCAATTGGATTCGATCACCCATGACACACCCGTTGTCGACCTGAGATTGGTTCGTTGATTCGATCACCCATGACACACCCGTTGTCGACCCGTTTTAGCAAAAAGTTTCGCGCATCAGACATTATATGAGATTGCAACGGCGGGTTCTTAGGGACGGTGGCGAGCGGAGGCAGAAACACAGGGGGGGGCGGGGAAGAGAGAGGGAGAGATAAATAGATAAATAGATAGATAGATAGATAGATAGATAGATAGATAGATAGAAAGAGAGAGAGAGAGAGAGAGAGAGAGAGAGAGAGAGAGACTTTAGTTGAACAGCGAGTCAATTCGCAGTTATCGAGGTTGATGTCAGGTCGTGATCTGTTTGGTGACTGACCACCTTTAAGAAGTGGCAGACCACCTTCAAGAAGTGTCAACCTTCACAAAGTGCCAAACAGTCGGCGGTCAGAGGACTCCAGTGCTAAAAACATTCTAAGGGGACCTTGCGGTCGTGTTCAGAATATATTGGCGTAGCACTAGATGCTGACCAAGCAGTTCTGGATGTCGGTTATATTGACACATCATAAGATGCCTTACAAGCAAGCAACGGCTGCTTGCAGGACCTTCTACCCGGTATGGATCTTTGAGAGCTAAGTTTCACACTCCACCGTGAGATCCACGTCGGATGGGTGGACCTGCCATCCTACCGCTGTTAGTTGTAGTCATCTTGAGGGAGTCGATGAGGTGAGGACCCGGCAAAAAAAACTCTAAGTGGACTTTGCTGCCGTGTTTTTGGAACTTATTGGCTTAGCACTAGATGCTCACCAAGCAGTTCTGGTTGTCGGTTATATCGACAAATTATAAGATG